GAAAAAAGGAAATGGACAATCCAAATTTAATCTTCACCATCTCATTTTCGGAATCATGACTAGAATTTCCTTTAATTGGTAAGATTGCAAAATATTGTATTGGAAGTACGAACCCTGTAACATGATCAAAACTAGTGATGTCACAGAGTCATTTCTACCCAGTTTAGACACAAAACACTTGCAAGGATGAACCAAAACCCACCCAGCCCAAGACTACACCAAAGAGGTGGAAGCCAGTCTCAAACCAAACTAGCCAGCATACCGCCCTTGCTGAACATTTTTATTATTAAGTAAATGAGAAAATAATGTTACTTTCCTAAAGTACAAGGATTGATCTTGCAAGAAAAAACAAAACTAAATGGAACCACTACCATAGTTCTTTCTATGAGGCACAATTTACAGTTCCAGGAGTACCGGAACCCTAGCATGCTTCTAAAGTTTTGCCTCTTACCACACTTTTTTTTCATTTTAAGGCTAAAGGTAGCAACATATTTCACCTCAGGCAAAAAGAAAAGCAAAGGAATCTGACAGATCGGAGAAGAGCCCAAACCTACACACAAGGGAGGAAATAAAGTAGATATGTGCTTGCCCCCAAGGCCTAGCTCGAGTGGCAAAAGGTGGAGGATTTGTGGCTTAGGTCGCAGGTTCAATCCCCACACCACGCAAGGGTAGAGGGGGCGGGCCCATTATCTACCGAGTTTAGAAGGCTTTGATTGGTCCAAAGGGCGGGTCACAGACGGATTTCTCGGTTATCAAAAAAATAAATAGATATGTGCTAGCTTTAAAGCAAACAATTGTAACCACGTACTGCACTACCAAAGCCCTGTAGAGTCGAGCAAACATCCTAAGATAGGTACAAGCAATAATCTTTTGCTGGATTAAATCCAAAAAGCAAGCCACTAGATCAGTATCAACCCATAATTATAAGATATAAATAATCTATAACCTGTTACAATCCCTTACATCAATAACATGTTAACAGTTACAAAACCAACTAAGCAGCTGAAGAGAACTAAACTATGATACTTAAGGTTGCAGCACCTGAATATTTTAGCCTCTTGGTTCCTCAAAAAAAGAAGAAATAAAATTTGGCATCAGTTTGGGTGTGTGTGGTGTTTGAAGTGAGACACTAAAACGGAATGAGACACTCACGAAAAGTATGTATTAGATTGTGATAATACTATCGTTACTTCTAGTACCAACAATACACTAATGATTTGCGGAATTCCAGCCCATCCAAAAATCAAGAAATGCCTAATCCACATTGCAAAAGTAAGCAATTTGATTGGAAAAATTATATTGAACTTCCCTTGTAGACAGGAACATACCCTGGTCACAAATTCCAATTCATATAAGTTCAGATATAACTATGAGGGGTATATCCAACTACTTAAGAGTTGCTTGTCAAGAACCTTAACCCTTTTATAGGTTACGAAAAGAGAGTGTAAGATCCTAATTCCACTTATACCTACTACTAATAGTTTCTTACTTTGTCTATGACGCATTCCTTCTTTTTCTAGTTATCTTCACAATGCAATCCTAAAACTATCTCATTGCACGTCCAAAGCTAAAGGAAAAAGGCAATACAAATGTATTTATATTTGTTCACTACCTGAGGAGAAACTAACACCACTTGCAGGAGTTTATTCTGAGCTGCTACACCCCCAGCTCCATTAGGCATAGTGTTAGCATCACTTCTTACACCTGCAAACGAAAATCAATCTTCAAGAACACAAGCTGGGGCTCAAAATATCAAAATTTAAGATTAACCCAAATCAGAAAAAAGAGGAACAAACATACATAGAGAGCGGACTGGAGATAAACGTGAAGAGGAAGATAAGAGAGGGAAATTGAGATTGTGCACCACTTTGGGTAACAAAAATGGACGGAAAATTGAAGCTCTTGCCCGGAAATGGAGAGGTGAAACTACGGTGTTAAGGGTTTTCAACCCAGCTCGCTCCATTCCGGCAACACTCTCCGGCGACTCCAAATGCCAGTGTATGTTATCTCTCACACCATTATCAATTAAGCAAAATGTCTTTTCTTTTATTTTTTCAAAACAAACAAAAGAGCACAAAATTTTTCTTTCTCCTCTTTTTCGTTTTTGAGTGTTTTCAGTAGGATGGAAAATGTTTTTTAGAAAAAATAAGTTGAATTTTTTTTTTAATAAATATGAATAATATATTGATTCTTATAGATAATTTTAAATTTAAATATCTCATGTGATTTTTTTTTTCATTTTATCTCTAGTAGACTAATGGATTTTTGAATATCAAATCTTAGATAAATATCCATCAAGGAGTCGTTTGGTAGTGTATATGAAAATAGTATTGAATACTATATTAGTAGTGTTAACATTAGCTATGATGACCAAAAAAAAAACATTAGCTATGATGATATTGTTTTTTGTTGATTGTTTGATTTGTTGTATTGGATGAATATTTGTGTTACATAATACTAAGATGGTGTTTGGATTGGCTTAAAAGTTGGTCAAACCTATTTTTAAGTAAGTTTTTAATTTCTGAAAGTGTTTGACAATTATAAAAAATAACTTAAAATAAGTTGGGAAGTGTCTGACAAGGTAAAAAATGACTTTAAAAAAAATTAAAATGACTTAAAATAAGTCAAAAATCAATTTGACTTTTTATTTTTGACTTAAAATTTGTTTCAGTTTGACTTTTTATTTTTGACTTAAAAACCATTTTTTTAATCCAACAAGCTCTAACTATGCTGGCACCCAAGGATATTGCCTAGTGATCAATACAATGGTTGAGAAACCTGGAATCTCAGATTCAAAATTCGATTGAAGACAGAAAAAAACACAAAGTGATTATTTGCATTTATGCTAGCATTGACACCATGATCATAAAATAAATAAAACACTAAATATAGTGTATTAAAATAAAAATAGTACTCCATAATATTAATGATACCATACTACGTATAAGAATATATTGTCTGATGAAATATAATTTACTTTGTATAGGAATATATACATATATGTATTAGTTATATATATATATATATATATATTAAAACCATACCACAAGGGCTAAGTAATTATTAAAACCAATATATGTATTTTACTTTTTTATAATACCTTCTTAGGAGTTGTTTGATACTTTTTTTCAGAGATATGCATATTTTAATTTGAGATTAGATTTATATTATATTTAATTGATGTTATAATTTTTTTTGGGATAATTTATACAATCAACCAAACACATTATAAATTTCATCTCACATTTATTCTATATCTTGCCTTATTCCATATGCCTTTGGTATTATTTTATCAAACCTTCCAAATAAAATAAGATAAGTTAACTAAAAAAAATCATAATCTCAAAATAATTTAATGTGCGAACCAAACACTCGTATCCTAGTATGATATTGTTATGTTGTCCGTTTTGTATCCTTCTCCCACACCCATATGAGCTAGGGTTGTTCAAAATCGAACCGAATAAATTATTGGTCTATCGGTAATAGGTTATTGATTTAATGGTTTTGATAACGAGTTTGATTTTTTCTGTTATCAGTTCTTAACGGTTGGACTTTTTTACTAAACGGGTTAACCGATAACTCGATAGTAAATTAATAAATTATATTTTTATACCATTTGGTATATAAAGTCCATGACTTAGGATTTATTTTCATATTTTTATTTTCGGCAGTCTCAAATTTCTGGTTATTCTACAATATGTTAGTGTTACTTTTGGGCAAAATACAATCTATCAAATCATGTGCATGGTTTATTTGGTTTATCACCATGTTTCTAAGTGACTTTCAATAATTTATTTTTATATAAAATTTTAACGGTTAAATCGATACCAAATCAATAACGATCAATAAGTGATAAATTGATAACCGACAAGCCAATATCTTAATGGTTCTTAACGATTTTGCATGTTTACAAATCAAGGTAAATCGATAAATATCAAAACCGGTCGGATAGACCGATACGCTGCCTATGGGAAGGAAAAATAACCTATTTAACATATTAATCCCCAATTTTCATAGCTATAGCGCCCAAAGTCACGTGTTCTCTCCTTCTCGTCCGCTCGTTTAACGGACGTTGCTTTGTCCCTCAAACTATTCATTACCAAATACTCCAATTATTTTTCTCTTCTCGATCTTCCTTTAGGGTTTCAATTTCATTGCTTTATTCAGTCAATTCGGTTTACGCTTGCTGATTTCGGGATCCACTTTTCATTCTCGATTCCGCAGGTAGATTTATTGAGGCTGATGTTTGCGCATTCGAGCTTCTTAGTTTTTTTTTTTTTTTTAATTCTACCAGTTTAGATTTTCTGACTTGTGTGGATTTCTTGTACGATTCCCTAGGTGTTTGATTTTTATTTTATTGTGTGTGTTGAAGTCTTTGTTTGTTGGATTGTGGGTTGATGACTTTAGGGTTTCAATTAATTTGATCGGAATTATAAATTTATTGATGTTTGTGCTTTAATGTGATGTTACAATGCGTTTTCCTTGGTCAATTGTTAGTTTTTGAATCTGTTGAAGTTTGGTTGTTGCTGTTGATTTTTGCAATTTTTTTTTTTTTTTTTTGTGGTGTGATTATTTCTGGGATGAGTTGATATAGACGCTCAATTGTTTCATATAGTTGGGATTAGGTGGGGTTTGTGTTGATTAGATAATCTGTTGCAGAGTTGTAATTTATTTTGGTGTAAAGAAACCTATGTAAACAAAACTGGAGCATTACTAGAGTTTCTAGTGTCCTAGTAAAGAGGAACAAGGACATACTTTTGCTATATGAAATTGTAAATGGGTTGCCAGCACAGCCTTCGTGCTGGTGATTAATACATTGTTACCTTTCTCAAAAAATTAATAACTGTTGCATAAAGAGTAAGGTAAAAAGAGATGGTACCATCTAGGAAGGATTTTGGGTGGAGATTTCCTGGGAATTTGTTGTAAAAAGTGGAAGTCAACTTTCGGAAGATGGTGTTTGATTGAAGAAACTAAAAATATCATTTTATGCAAAATTTGGTTCTTTTTTATTGTAGTTGAAGAATTGTTAAGGAGGTTCTTTTACCCAAAAACCGTCATTCACTAGCAAATCACTAGCTAATCTTATAAAACTACAATGAGCTAAACATGTCTTCAACTTCTACTAGCCTTCTTTTCTTTTTAAACCAAAAACTTTTCCAGACAGATCCAAATGAGCACTTTAAGAAGGAGCTGGAAGTAACATTACTCGCTATCATTACCTGATTGTTTTTGCTGCTATGGTGTTGAATAAATGATTGATTACAAGGCAATTGTAGATGAGCAACATCTGATTTTTAATATGATCTGCATGTGGAGTTATAAGAGACATCAGTCAGATCATTTGAAATTTAAAACTCTCTATTACAGCTTTTGAAGGTAAGGTGGTATCGTGTATGCTTGAGGGATTATAAGTATTAGACTTGTACTTTGTCTAAGTTCCTATCTGCACCCATATGAATGTCTAGAAAGTTATAAGCCTTCCGTTTTCTGGATATGTGAAGTAGTACACAAAGGAAAAACAAACATTCTAGCATATGTTTTGCTTGAATGGGTATAATAATCTAAAATTAAGAAGAACATGGGTAGCTATATGCCTATATCTTCCGAGTCCTACGACTTTACTAGCGTGTAAAGAAGTTCAGGAGTGGGGATCCTTGACTTTCTATAAGTAGAGTGGAAAGAAAATTCACCTTTCCTGTCCTGTTTTACTTTTCCAGTCTACCAAACACGCCCTAATCCCTCTCCTGCACGGTCTTGTTGCTGAGGCTAAAAATTCTTGGGGGAGTGAAAAACCTGCTTTCTTTTACTTTATATTAAATTTAACATTTTCTTTTCTAATTCAACGATGGATTTGAGAATGCAACTTGGAATGTAAATATGATGTTCACTTACAGAACATTAAAGAAAGAAGTGATAACAAAACCATTTAGTGTCTGAATATTTGCGTACAGAAAAAAAAACCCATTCAATATCTGAATCTATTGTAAGAGTGCTTGTTGAGCAGTTACAGCTGGCAGAAAAGAAAAGTTGGTTTTTTGCCAATGGAGAAGCCAACAGATTCTAGCTTATTTGTCAATGATGGTTCTTTCATGGAGAGGTTCAAACAGCTCCAACAGGAGAAGGAAAAGGAGAAATTGAAGGGTGCCTCCTCAAAAGAGTCTAAGACAACCTCCAGTATATTGGGAGCTTCAACTCCGAAGGCAGTCATTAGTAAGCCAAGCCTGGAATTTAAAGCTAACTCTTCACGGAAAACTGCCACAGTTGCTTCAGGTGGGAAACTTGCATTCAGCCTGAAACAGAAATCCAAAATACCTGCACCTTCTGTTAAGCTAGGTGAAGATGAGGATGATGAGGATGAAAAAGATGCTGGGAATTCTTCAGGAGATGGGCCAATTAAACGGCAGAGGGTGGAGGAACCTCGTGCTCTGCACAAGCCTCTTAGACAAATTGATGTTGGTAAATACTTATTACAAACATTGGAATTTTGTTGATGATAACTCCTCTCTCTCTCTCTCTCTCTCTCTCTCTAGCTGAATAAAGTATAGTTTTGCTCATGAGTCATGATATCACATGTTGGTTCTTGGAATAACATTCTTAGTAGCTATGTATTTCCATTCTCAGTAGCTATGTATTTTCCTTTCTTTAATTTTCTGTTTGCTAGCTTGATTTAGGGTCCACCCTCACTTTTCAAGGACTTGTCATTATAGGCTAGGAATTTTAAGAATTCATGGAATGATCTTAGTTCTTGTCCATTTAGTGAATTTGCTTTCTCTTGATGGTCACATATGAGGTAATTTCCTTTTGGTTGAACCACATAATTCACCTAATGTCTTGTGCAACTGGTGGCACGGGTTCTCATTTACTACTAATCTGTCATGGAAGCCTTATGTTGCAAATTTTCAAAGTCCTTCATTAGTCAAGATTTTACCATTTTGTTTTGTACTTTGAGGATATTCTCTAGGCATTGTGGATAAGAACTAGACATTCTTGAGTTACTCTTGTCTGATCGTGCAGCTTATATCTTAAGTCCTTACCAACATTGGGGGAAAGAGATGTTCAATGAAAGATTTGGAAAATGCGGCTACAAGAGTAATTTATATTCACTTGTTCATGCTCTTGGTATTAATCAGTGCTTTAAGTGACATGCAGCACCAAATCCCCCAAGTGATCCAGCAGTGAAGAAAGTTGCAGACAAATTAGCAAGTTTTGTGGCTAAGCATGGAAGGCAGTTTGAGAATATCACTCGCCAAAAAAATCCAGGAGACACACCATTTAAGTATGAATCAGAATCTTTCTGGTCTCTTCATGGAGAGTAGTCACATAATTTATTGTAACATTGATTTTTTTTACGACGTAAATTGCCATGGGTTGTTCTGTCTTCTCAAATCACACGTATGTGCGATTGTGGTCACGTGACCTCATATCCACGAGTTCTGTTGCATCTATTGTCTTCTTTTTTTATTCCCTCACTTCCTTAAGAACTGGTGATCACTTCTTGTTCTTCCCTTACCCTTGCTCGTTTAATTCTCTACTTTGTTTTGGTGTTTGGAAGCTCTTTCTTTGCCAAAATCATTGGTCTCTTTAGAGTTTTATCTAATGAGTTTACTTTCCTGGAGATTTTAGCTACTGCCTATTATGAATGGTTAGCGGTCAATCATCTGATTTCTCTCTCCTTAAGGAAGAAGAAAATTTGTTTTTGAATATTGTTTATGACACTTGATATATTTGCAGGTTCTTATTTGATGAAAGCTGTCCTGATTACAAATACTATGAATATCAACTTAGTGAAGAGGAAAAGGCTCTATCACAGACCTGCGAAACCCAAACATCACATAGTGAGTAAAATTTATCCACATGCATATATTGCTGGCACAAGCCTAATTAGCTTTCTGGTTACGTAGTGCAGGATGTTACTAGCTTTCTGCGTTCAGTTGGCCATGTTTAATATGCATTTTATGTACTGTGTGTATATGTGTGCGTGTGTGCGCACATGCATTTAGCTGAATAGCTTGAGGTTATTCAACTAAATTGCCAACTTCATGTTTTTCGCATCTAATGTCTAGTTCATCTGGCTTTGCTTGATCGACATGACGTTTCTTTGCGGTGATTCTTCCATATTATTTACTTGATTGGTTTTTGGTGCTGCAGGAGTTACTAGTACTGCTACACCCAACTCAACAAGCAGTTCTCATAGGTCACATCAGCAGCATTTGAATTACCAAACTCCTGCATCAGCATTGTGGGGAGCAACAGAGAATACAAGTTCTTCAGAAGGTAATTTCGTTTATACACGAGTCTGTATATGTATATATTGTCTTGGCATTTTGTTCAGTGTTATCAAAGGCGAAAAGCACAAACGAACTCTTAATATCCGCTGGGCTTTAAGCGCAAAGTGCAAATAAAGTATAGGTTTTAAGGAAGAAAGGCCCAAATGGAGAAAAAATATAAATATGTATGTGTAGTCCAAACCTAATAACTATAAGCATGAATAACAAATAGACAGACAACATTATCAATAAAAACAAATAGATGGGCAAAGAAGTCGAAAAGGAATTATGATAAAGTGATATATCAATTGTTTAGTGCCACCTCTTTAGGATTATGCTCATTGGCAAAGAAAAGCATGCTTTAGAGCCTTGATGACGACATTGAAGCGCTCACTAGGTGGGGCGAAGCGCTCAACATGTTTGCTCCTTGCTTCAGGATTTAAACACGCTTTAAAGTGCAACTTTGACAACATTGATTTTGTTTGGATTATTTACCCTACTGGATTTGGGTGTAATGTGATCAATAATGGAGAATCTGCTTTTGCACCTGAATTTGTGAATATAGGTTTCCATACACAAGTTAATATAGGCAGATCAGTTTTCTAGTGAGGTTAAGAGTAGTGAGAACTGAAAAGTGGTGCTTGGGTTTATTGAAATTGGATCATTCTCTTCTTCAATTCTTATTTCTGTTGTCCTTGAAAAGGTGCATGGTAAAATATTGTGCAACTAAGAGATTATATTTTATTGAACAATTGGAACTGCACTAAGATGTAGCAGGTTGCATAAGGAGTACAATATGAACATTGTTTAGTCTGCAAGGAGCTAATGGAATCTCTCAGCTTATCTGTTCCTGAGATATCATCCAGTTAACACTAAGCTTCTAGAGCAACATTCAGTCTCCATTTTAGTCCAGATAGGACTCTATTTTACCCTCACAGTATCTTTCATTTCTCTTTTGCCAAATGTTTCAGCAGATGTAAGCTGGCGAGTCTCCCAAATCTTCCTTCTTTCCTTGCCAAGCTCTTTTCTTTTCCAGTACTAGAGTAGCTTATTTGTCTGTCTTAGTTTAGCTCATTTAACTCCAAATATGCTGAGAAACATACTCCAAATGACTTCATAAAAAAACATACTCCAAACGTGGAATGTCATTGACAATGTAGAAGGTTGTGATTTGCATATTTGTATCTTCCACCCCCTTTTCCATATGTAACACCTAAAACACATGTTCATAGCCCCTTTTTGTTAGTTACCTGAATTAAGATAGCCTCAGATGTTGCAATCCAACTCAACAGGCCAAATTTAATGGAACACATGCTCTACAGAGTATTCTCCATGGCCATGTACTATGCTGATCTGCAGGGACATTCAAGTTTTCATAAGCTCTGATTGAACAGAGAACTTCCTGCTGCAACTCTGATTCATTTTAGTGAATCAGATTCTCAGATAAAAGTTGATGTGTTTCTACTTCTTATGACAATGGAACCGTTCTTTCTACTTCCAAATCATTACAACTCCTCCTAAAAGCCCAGCATCACTGTTTTCGGCGCTGTTTTGCTGTCACTACAGAATTTTGAGCAAATCAATACAATTCTGGAACTTTGTCTTTTAGTGGTTAATGGCCCAGTCAAGCATCCTACCTAAAGTAGATTTTGCTACCATCACCTACCTTAAAGTTTAATATTCATCTGAATTTCCATATGCTTCTAATATGAGTGACTTTTGTTATATCTTTTCACATAATTCGTCTTCCTCTTGTTTACCTCTGTAGCCATTTAAAGCAGACTTCGTTATGCAAGTGCAAAATTTTAAAACCAACTTCCTGTAGATGCTTTGACCCTGTTTGCATCCCTAAGAAAGTCTTGTGATTTTTTCCAGCTTCTCCCAGCCTTCTAGGCATTGGAAGTAGTAATCGGTGTGCTAGTCATGCATGCTTATTCTCCCCAAGTATAGTACGATAGTACTCAGCTACTCCCTCCGTCCCTATTTACTTGTCCATATTTCCTTTTTTAGTTGTCCCTATTTAGTTGTCCATTTTGACAAATCAAGAAAGGACAACAATTTTTTTCCTATTATACCCTTATTTACACTTCTTGAAAATTGTAAAAGTGTATGTTGTTTCCCTCCAATTTATTTCACTTGAATTCAAATAAATGGTTGTAATTTTGAAGTGAAAAGTTGTCATAAGGGTAAAATTGTAACTTCACTGTGCTAATCATTGTTGCCTTAATCTGTGTGCCATTTCTAAAGTGTACAACTAAAAAGGGACGGAAGGAGTATAAGATAAATAGTTTTCTGTCAAGAAGCAGATATTATTGTAGAATGGATGCAAAAGAATTTAGACATCCAATTTCATGCCATGAACATATATGTGTGTGTATTTGTTCGTGTCATGAATTAAGTATATTTAACTCTTTAAGTTAAAGGTAAGAGTTTTTCTTTCAAGAAGCAGATACTGTTGTAGAATGTATGCAAAAGAATCCAGACATCCAGATTAAAGAGGGAGGGGAAGTTGTTACGACCGTTCCAATGAATTTGAATTTTTGTGACCTTTCTGATATATGTAGTTCTCATTTACTAGGTGTCCGATGCATACAACAGTTTTTAAATAACAGAACCCTCAATATTTTTTGTGCCTCTAAAGCTACCGATTTTGAAGAACTGGTTTCCTATCTTGGAAATTTGATTTCATCTGGCTATAATTTGTGCACCTTCTGCGCTGCATCAGATTGTCATATTCCCATAAGTTCATTGGATGATGGACTTCACGAAATTCCACTGAAAAGGTTTTCAGTTATGCTTGGGCTTATACGGGTATTGTCTTTGCAGGTCATTCAAGCGGTCCATCGGGGTCAGATCCAATAGCGATGATGGAATATTACATGAAGAAAGCTGCAGATGAAGAGAAGCTAAGGGCACCGAGATCATCGAAAGATGAGATGCCTCCACCTGCTTCTCTCCAAGGTTGGTCACTAATTTTGTTTATTCTGCTGTATCTATGTTCTGGTTTCCTATTAAGTTTAGAATCTTAGGTATCTGAGCTCAAAGTAGATGCATGCATTGTTTATTAAAATATGTGCAACTCTTCTTATGTCTTATTTTGCGTTGCAGTTCCAGGAAAGAAGGGTCATCATATGGGGGACTATATCCCACCTGAAGAGCTTGTTAAGTTTTTGTCTACCTGCAACGATGTAGCTGCTCGGAAAGCAGCCATAGAGGCAGCAGAAAGATCGAAAATACAAGCTGATAATATTGGCCACAAACTTCTGTCGAAAATGGGTTGGAGAGAAGGTATATTTCCCTCTAGGAAAACATGGACCTGTTTGGGTGCAAATAACTTGTACTGGTACATTTTTTAGAGGAAAAGGAAGATTTCCCCATTTTAATAGACCTTTTCTTAGGGGCAGAGCTATTCAATTTTAAGAGAGTTATGTTGAGGTTGAAGGGGGCATGAGGTTAGGGGTTGGGTTTGTTTCTGCGATTGATGAGGCTACTCCTCTGGTCTGGGGAGCATCCCTACCTCATCTTGTTTCTTCAAGTGTATAAATGCACTACTTGTAGCAAGTTGTTTTGGTAACTAGGTATGCAAGTGACACATCTATGTAGGTAGTTTTAAGGAGTTCTAAGTCAGAAAGTATTACCCAGTGGGATTTCACTGGGTATGTTGTTCTTGTAGTCAAAAAGTATTAGTCTTTGAAATGCAAATAGTTCATGTTTAGGAGTTACATGCCGCAAATTCCTATGGAGTCTTAATCTTAATGCGGAACTGCAGGTGAAGGACTAGGGAGCTCTAAAAGTGGTATTGCAGATCCAATAACAGCTGGCAGTGTAAAATCAAATAACTTAGGTGTTGGTGCTCACCAACCCGGGGAGGTCACTCCAGAAGATGATATCTATGATCAATATAAGAAACGAATGATGCTAGGCTACAAGTACAGGCCAAATCCACTGGTATGTGCTTTATCTCCTTTATAATTGAACCTTTTTTTTTAATGGTGTGGAACTTCTTTTTATTTAGGTTTGTTATTTATGCAGCAAAGTACTCTATAATTTCATTGAGTACGGTTTGCATCAAAGGGAAATTAAAAAAACTGTAACAGATATGAGAACAGAACTCAAGGAACCATCTTGCCATCACCTTCTAAGTGAAACAATAGAAACTTTTATGTATCAAAAGACCTTACCTCCATTCTATCTTGGACCACATGACCAAAAAATAATTTGTCACCTAACAGGAGGGAGGATCCTGCTTACTCAGTGTATGTGTAAAAACTCTAGCCTCACAGTAGTGACAACTTTTCGTTCGTTCTCATTTCGGGAATTTGTTTTTCGGTTTAGATAGGATGGAGAGGGAAATTAATGTTTAAATTTTTATTATAATTGGAACCAAGGCTGATAATCTCTTTTTGCAGAACAATCCGCGGAAAGCATACTACTGAGGCAAACTGCAAGCTTGTCGTCTACTCGGCCTACCTCTGTATTAGAGTCACTTGTGTTTGTTATAGCTTTCTTCAGGAAGACAATATTTAGAAGTTGATGTTATTCTGGTCTACATACTACTTCTACAAGTTTGAATTCGTTGTATCTAAGACATTGAAATGACATGTATTGTGAACTCCGATATATCTTTCGCCTCCTGGTCTCTTGTTTATTCAAAGTTTCACTTGAACAAACATATCTACATCAATACACCAAACCCATGCGAGTTTTGTTTTCTGAGTACCCTTGTGCTATTCTGTTGTAATTGTCATGATATGCTTGGTTATTGGAAAGTTGATGCTGAATACGAGTGTTAACCTGCTTACTTTTTAGGTGTGAATTCATTGAATTTGTTGAAATAATATTTTGCGTTTGCAAAAATTGCTATTGTACTATATAAAAATACTTCCGAGTAGTTTGAAAGATCGCTGTCTAAATGAATTTTTTAAAAAGAACTTTTGAAGTTGTGAATAGTGGCACCAAATTCTTAACAAGAGAAAACATCCAAATGCCCCCTCAAGCTATGAGTGGATTTCCAACTCTACTAGAGAGTGCATTTCACTCTCTCAAAGAGAGTGAGAAGCAAAAAACAATTAAAAAGAACATTTTTATTATAATTAAATTGTATATTTTTAATTTTTTTCTTTTTATTTATTTATTTTCATAAGAAAAATTACCCCTTTTAATGGAGGGAATGACTTTCCCTTTCACTTCTATGGGAGAAGAAGATAGCAGTCCCAACATTTCCATCTCTCATAGATGATAAATTTTAATATTTGACAGAAAAACTTATTGAACGAGCCGGCGATGAGGAAGAAATAATCACCGAAAAAGATGAACTCACGGATAAATTTGAAAATTTATTCTTGAGAGTCAAAGCTCTTTAATAATGGTTGTCCATGGATTTGTATTTCCTCCTTATTTGTCAAATTTTTTCTTTAACTCAAATCAATTGATCTAGATGTTTTCAAACTCAAGAACTCAACAATGGGATTCCCATAAAGGATTCAATTTAGTCTCTACAATTTGTAATTGAAAATGAAAATTTTCAGATTTGGATTCAAACACAACACACAATTTTTTTTTATTTTGACAGCTTTGTAGGTCAGTGTGATTTTCTGATTTTTGGCTTAAATCTTCACACCTAATTCGAAATCAATTAACAAGTAATGTGTAGATTCAATACACCAAATCTAGTCACATTCACAAACTTCCAAGATTTGCACAAATTCGATGAACACAATGAAGAACAATAGTTTTTTTCCTTCAAATTTTAAGAAATTAATAAAGCCAAGAAAACAATTGAAGATTTAAGGTAAGTATTATAGAAATCTATAGTTTGAATTACAAATTTTAAAAGAAAAAGAAAAGAGGTAAAATAGAATAAAGATGAAAGAAGAATCTATAAAAAGTTTTTTTTAAAATTATTATATATGCCTGACAGCTGGCAGTGCGTGTCCACCACTTCAGGTTATGAATGTGGGTGTATAGGTTTAGGGTGATATTTATATCATTTTAAAGTAGTTCAAGGAGTACTAAGATTCTCGTAGAGTATAAATGTGTAGTTGAGAATCGGACAATAGGTTGGAGGTCATTTGGCTATTTACTCTCTTCTTAACAAAGCTAATATACTTTGTGGTATTACTTATTCAATTATTGAATTGAGGCAAGTCATTCATGGTCAATCCTGCTCCAAATTCTTATCTAACAAATTAAAGGTACAATATCCTCTTGTTCTTCTTGATCAGACCACAGTTTTGGCATTGGACGAAATTTGTGCGTGTGGGAGGGGTGTTGAAAATTTTAAATTATAAATCCAAAATTAAAATTTTAGTAATAGTTACGTACATAAATATACGTTAAGTTGGATCCGTTAGTTATATAGTCCGTCCCCCAAATCACTTTTCTAAGCATCCTATAGTGCAAATTTTAGATTCCTTTCGCCAAATTTCGTATTCCTTTTATGACATTTTCATCATCTTTAAATCCTGAGTCCATCTTGATATGTAACACTTTTTTTTTGGGTGAATTATAATAATGGTATGTCGAGAACAAAAAAAGATGCAAAATGGGATGTGAAGAAAAGTAAAACGAATAAAATTAATAATTATAGATATTAAAAAAAAAAAAAAAAGCAAAAGAGAAAAAGAAAGGTTCACAAGATTTTTTTTGAAGAAATAAAAGCATTAGAGGATAAAGACAACTTTTTCTTGGTCTTTTTTGGGTAGCTTCATATAGAGCCGTAGAAGGCATGTGTGTGAGAAAAGAAATGGAAAGCAAGTGTCGGCTGTAAAGAAAATAATTTATATATTATATTTATTATTAATGCTAATTTAATAGAAAAAACTTACCCGCATCGGATGTATAGGAAACCAGAACATAAAATCAAATCTTGATTACTTATTCCATTTTATCAGTTTGATTATTGGAACGAGAGTAACATATACTCAAATTATATCATCGATTGGTGACCTGCTTCCTCTAAGCAAGAATTTCTACAAATATCAACTCTTTCTTGACGAATGACTTGTCCATAAACAGATGATTAGTTATAATATTAGCATTACCATTTTAATATGAAAAAATTATAGAAATCCCACCTTTTAGTTTACTTATTACCATTATCCCCTATAAGTTTTACAAATCTCCAAAATCCCTCATTTTTGCGCATCAGATTAGTGTATCTCGCGCATCAGATTAATGTATTAACGCTTATATCATTGTATCTCGTGCATCAGATTAGTGTATCATGTATAAAATGTAATGTATCTTACTTAACAATTAATGTATCTCGTGCATCAGATTAATGTATCATCGCTTATATTATTGTATCCGTTTGAGGGATTTCTATAATTATAAACTTTTAAGGGATAGATTGTAATTATGTCTTAAAAGTATGTGATTTCTGTAATTTGCCCTATTAATATTTATGAGGATATTCCTGCAATGTTGTAGCATCTCTTTACACAAATGGCAAAAAATTCTTACCAAAAGGAAATGTTTTTTTGTTGTATTAATTTTTCAGTTTCCAATTATGGATAAAAAATAAAAATAAAAATAAATAAATAAAAGTTTCCAATTATGGAAACAATAATAATTCACAGGCATAAGATTCCCCCAAATCTAATTCCAAATCCATCACGAATCCATAAAAGCAAAAGGTAAAATTTTAGGTTCCTTAATTCTTCATCTAGTTTTTTTTTTTTATAAATAAAATGAAATCTGAGTTGAAAGGAGTTTTTAAGTAAAAATTAAAATAGAACTCATAGGAAATATATACTCTCTTTATTTTAGTTTGTTATTTGATCCGAAGCCTTAAATTATAGATAAGTAGTGCGTATCAAAATACACTTTGGTTCTTTGATTTTAAATATATCATGTAAAGAATAAAACAAAATAATTATTTTTAATATATATTTTTTTTAAAAAATAAGACAGACAAATCGAAAAAAAATAAAATTCTCAAGTTTTAGTTGGGCCGCTTTTCCAACAGTTTATTATAAATAATTGCATAGTTGCCAACAACAAAAAATAAATTCATCTTCTCTTCTATCGTTTTCACTTCCATAAACATCCTTAAATTCAAAATATAGATAATTGTTATATCAATGTAATTTATACTGGTATAATAGGTTGCTTCTCTTATTTTTATTCATATTATAACAATTATCGTATTTTTTTTAAATAATCTAAAAATATAATTTTTATATCCTATCACTAAAAAAAAATAGCTATGAAAATTTATCATTAAATAACTCAGGTATATCTAATACAATTTTTTAATAATTTGTCAATTAATAGACTTAGCTGTAGTTTTTTATCCCCTCTGTCCCTAATTACTTGTCCATTTTTTTTAGTTGTCCCTAATTACTTGTTCATTTTGACAAATAAAAAAGAACAATTCTTTTTACCTATTGTACTCTCAATTAATTACTTTGAAAAAAGGTAGAACTTCTTGAAATTTTTAATTTTTAATTCATCAACTTAATAATTAATAGGTATAAAATAGTAAATTCACTATATCAATAATTATTTTCTTAATAGGTGTGCGGAACTATTATTTAGTGATAACAGACAAACTATTTGTCGTTTCTTAGGACATAGAAATTCAAGACAAATTGATTTGTATTTATCATATAGTAGTAGAAATTTTGTTCCCATTTTATCTTCTGACATGAACATATACCAGGTTAATAGTCACTCATTTTTCATTCTTTGTTCGATTTTAATTTGGTACGAAATTAAAAATAAAAAAATTAGTTTTAAATCTTATAATCTTAAATAAAAATATATTAAGATTATTTTTTAATTTTATAATCTTAAATTAAAAAAAAAAAAAAAACAAATTGAGACGAAAAAGTATATGCTTTCACTCAATAGAATATAATATAAAAATATAGTTGATTTGATGTTTTGTTCAGGATTCAACCAAACCCCACACCTCTATATATTTAATGTAATATATTATTTTTGTCGACTATATGTTTCATTTTCACAGTTATGTATTAAAATCCAAAGTATATAAAATTGTTCAAATGTTCAATGTATGAAGCTAATTCATGTATATGCCTGTAAAGGCTTGATTGTGGAATTTTTTTTATTCCGTGGTGTTTGATATTTAAATTAGATTTTGATTAAATATAAATTCACATATTATAAGATTTGATTCTAAAAATAATATTTTTAACAAAAAAAAAATATTATTTGTATTGAGTTCAGTTAAATTTAAATTCACTCAATATTACAGGCCGCAATTCCACCATCACTCTGCATTGGTTGACGCATGATGACTGAAGAACTCGTCATTCACTTCGCTATATAGTAATAGTGGGAAATTGCAATGTATCTATCTTATTTAATTTATTGTAGATGACACTTTTTTTTTTAAAAAAAAAAAAAAAAACTATAATCACATCTATATCATTTTTAAGTTGACTTTTCAAGAAGTTTTATCCTCTCAATTATTGATAAATTTAAATTTAAATTTAAATTTTTGTGATATTTGATTAAATATATTTAAATGAAATTTCAATTTTTTGAAATGTATATTTTTGATCTTTTTTATTTGTAAATATTCATAAATTTTAAGAATCATTAAATATATTATAGTTTAGTTATTCATGTTATGTTAATGTTATACTGTTATTTCATATGATTATATATTTTTAAATATAATTAAATATAACATCCTAAAATGATCAGACATACATTTTAATTGACTGAAAGTTAAATATATTTAG